TAGATTATTTGTTAGAATTACACCAATTACATCCAATTTTTACTTTATGGGCAACTTCTGAGCCAGAATTAGCTCCTTTTCTAATGGCAATTGCTAAAGCAATAGAATGCAATGCAATGGCTCATCAAAAACTTTTAGAAAGCACCCCGAATGAAGAACGAGAATATATTTCATATGTAGATGCAGTTAAAAATGCTTTATCCCGACGTGATTCAATGCAAATTGAATATGAAATAACTGTTGAGGAATTAGCAAAAAAGAGATTAGAAAAGGATCAGGTGCGTTTTTTAAATTTTCTTTTTAAATTTAGATAATATTAATAAACTGTAATAATAAACTATAATAAACTGTAAATTTTTTATAATACTCATTATTTAAATAGTTAATGGATTCTACGAGTGGTAATACTTCAACACAAAATTGGGGTGGATCACTTTGGAAAGCAGAATCTCGTGATGAAAAATTAGAAAGACTTGGTCAGACCATTCCACGACTAGCAAAGCAAGCTGAATTATTACAAGATCGTGTGGAGTGTGCGAACGAAAATCTCCGAAGTGATTTACAAAGGTGGAATGTAGAAAAGCAAATGGATTTAAAAAATATGTTAATTTCAATGGCAGATCGACAAATTCGTCATTATCAACAGTGTATGAATGCATGGGAAGAAATTCTTACTGGTTTAAAGCTAGATGGCATAGGATCTGAAGTTAGCATAGGACCACCTATTAAAATTCCTGTTTGAATGATACAATCTTTCGTTTTTTGAATATAAATATAATAATTATCTTATGCATTTACAAAAATAAAAAATTTAGTCACCATTTGTGCAATAACATATTTTATTGCATTTAAGAAACTGATCTTTTCAGTTTCGCTATTGCTGCTTCACAATAAATTAATAACTTTCTTTTAAATCTTAAGTGTTTTTTGTAAAATATGTGATTAATACTTACATAATTATAGTGCAATAAATAGTTGCACATGTTGCAAATTCGTATATATTTCAATTTTTTAGATATAAAAAATATTATGATGAAATGGCTTTATGATATAATGCGGTTGCATAAGTTAATGCAAAAACGTAAATAAACTTATTTAATTCTATGGATATAATAGGATAATTTTCAACATAGAAAATCAAATATGAAGTATCTTAAGATATATTTTTCTTTCATTAATTAATTTTGGGACCAAATATTAAATAATTTATCACTATTTGTTCTTTTTCTTAATTTGAAACCACAATACATTCATTGACAATCAGTTCTTAATTACCTATATCTGGTAATTACCAAAGTTTATCTATAATATATAGATAGTCAATATATAGCATTAGAATACAATTTACAAACAATCGCTTATAACATTCGTTGTATCATTACCCTTAATACGTCGTTAAGTTTTGGACAATTCATTATAGCGGCACTTAATAAACTTATTTAGATAGTCTCGTTAAAAAAGCACAGTAAGAATCTATACAACGTGTTACATCTGCTATATCTGTTATTTATGTTTGGAAATAATTTTTTGAAATAGTTATCATAAATCTATGGAGTACGTTTCCAATACATTCATTACATTGTACACGCTATCTTACCGATGATGAAATTCTTAGATTTATAACAATAAATATTGTTTACAATTTATCATCTAGTCGATAATTATCTATTCGATTGAAGAATAGTTTGGCATTGGTGTTATGTAAAATTCCACCAAATTATCCAAATCATGAAGTCTAGTTATAGATTCGCCTAAAAAATATATTATATATTTTTTTTTCAAAATAATGCTTTGTTTAATTTAAACATTCACCTGTCAAAGTCATTTCGTTATGTAAAAATCGAACTGTGTGCGCGTATGGTTGTTGTATCTTTTCTCTTAATTTTGGTGCTAAACGTCTGGTCGGGTTCCATAATGGACTTCGAAAATTTGGAACATTCATACAATTTGGCTTCCATGATTCAGGTTTTACTTCTTCTAATGGTAATATATCAGTTATTCTGTATTGGCTTGTATCGATGTTCCATGTAAATTTGCATCCCACTTCGTACTGTTTTCTCTCTTGAGAGCTGTATTTCACCAAAATAAGTATTTGAAATGCAACAAAAATTCCTGAACATAAACTAGTACGAACCATTGAGTTTGATTATTAATTTCACTAGCTTGTATCTTCATAATTAATAGACAGATAATATCACCACTTAACGCGCACACATCTATAATTTCTATATCATAATCACTGCAATGCCAATATCTCTTTTTAAATCTCATACAAATCCAGTCAGCAATATGATGAGAAAACGTTTCAATATCGAAACTTAATTGATTTATTGAAACACATGGTACTATCTGAAAATGTAATAAATTTGATCTATTAATGAATAAAACTATCTAAATTTTAAATGCAATACCAATTTTTCTGCTTTGCTATTGCTGATCATTTGCATTTGGACATAGCCAGATCCATGGACGTGCATAGGAAGTACACATTGATAACTTACATATCCTCCTGTTTCCTCATCTGTAAAAAATTATATATATAATATATATATAATTATATATATATTTATGTTCATTTTTTTATTTCAATTATTAAAAAATAATCAAAATAATTTACCTTCAACATCCGTAATAACTGATATCATTTCATCATCAAGTTCTATATAGCTTCTTTTGAAATGTGCTGTGCATTTTATGCTAGGAAATTGTAAATTTATTTTTGGAACTAATGGAGAAGAATTTATAGAATGTTTACTAGAACGATCTCTATTTATGCCTCCATTAGATAGTTGATTCTGATTTAATGGACGTAGTACATTTTTTTCAGCTGATAAATAATATTAGAGATTTTGTTTAGAAATGAAAATTTTTTTTAATATAAACTTATTATATAAAATTATTTTACCTGAATCTATAATTAATTCATTTGATATATTATTTTCCTGATTAACATTGATATCATCTGTTTCACTTTGATCAGAATCTACCCAATGTTTTCTACCATTAGGCAATACAGATGACATTGTAGGAGAGGATGATATTTGATAAATAGAACAACCACGATGTTTGAATTGATCCCGTATATGTTTGAAAGGAACTATGTTTTCAGCATCCTCAGTTTCATCACAAAATTCATATTTTTTATCAGCAAGTCTTCGTTTTCGAAATGAACTAAGCTTCTCACAAGTTTCTTGTGCTTCATCCGTGAATTCATATGCTTTTTCAGCTTCAAGAATGAGCTTGTGTGTAGCTCTTGTTCTAGACTGTGCCGAATTCACAATTGGAGGAGGAGAATGTAAGTTAGATCTTTTGCGTGGACTTGGATAACGAAAGGATCGCGATATGGGAGGTGACATTAGTCGCGAAGAAGATGGACTCATAGAAACCGAATGAAGAGGAGAGTTAACGGAAACGATATTATTGTCCTTTGAAGCACCAGGTTGAGGGGAACTAGATCGTTGACTACGTGTGCTTTTATGACTAGATTCTGAATTCCGAGTTTTCAAAATATCTGAGGGCGGCGTAAGAATTGGCGAAGACCATATCATAGTTTTGAGATCAGAAGGAAGTCTTTGCGGTGTAGATCGTGGGGAACACGAAGGATGTTTTACTAGTGTAATTAAATCACTACCGATATTGAGCTCCTGAGACATATCCTCGCAGAAATCCTGTAAGATTTTATCTCTGACCGAGATTGCTTGCTGTTCGATTCGTGAGATTGGACTATCATTTCGACATTTACACTCGCTGCTGTCAGAGCACCCGCACGACTTAACACCTACGGCATCAGCAGACTTATTTATATCACAGACACAGTCGCTTTGATTGCTGCTTGAGGTATTTAACGAATCACGGCCTAACTTATCTAATTTAATTGATTCTTCTAAAAAGTCATGTTCTATATTTGATTCGCATCGCGGCGATTGATCAACTGCAGCACATTCAGATGTGCTTATTTTCTCGTCGGAAATCTCGTAACGTTCCACAGTTTTAGTGTAATCCAATTCCTCGACATCACTCATGTCTAACGGCATCGTATCAGAAATTACAGTATCCTGTTTATCGTTAGACTTCTGGTTTTTCGATTTTGGAATGTCCAAGTCCACCCTGAGCACATGTAAAAAGTTGCCTGTGTTAACTACCACATGATTCCAATAATTCAAACAGACAGTAGCACGGAACCTAGGATATGGAGAAATTACTTCATAGGTGGTATGGACAGTGAGTCCATGTTGAAGACAGTTACACCGTACACAACCATCCCAGTTTGCTGCTAACTCTGTAATAATTTATAAAAAATATTTTTTAATTTATTGTAACTTATAATTTACTGTAATTAATATTATTAATTTATTGTATATAATTAATTTATTGTATATTAATATTATATATTAATATTACCTTCACCTTCTTCTTCATAAGATGCCGCTACTTTTAAACAGTCTTTACAATTTTCAAGAGATGGTACTGTAGTTATTGTTAAGTATGCTCTATCTGTTGGTTGAAGATGTAGCCAATTTGTACTGAAAATTTATACTCATTAATTTCTTTGTAAATATGAAAAATTTAAACAAAATAATTGAATGAAATTTTACCAAAGACCATGTATTACTAGTTTATTTCTTTCCATTGGCCATTGAGATATTACAATACTGAGTTCTCTATAGATAGTGTAATTACCAAAAAGCGTAACCTCTGCAACTTTACGTGCAACATGATTTGGAGTAAAAGCCCACCAATGTAACAAGTATTTGTATAAAGAAGTAGTGCCACTCACATCCATAGTATATGTGTATGTAAGTAAAAACTGACCGCATTGTGTCAATCCCATTACAATATGTCTTTAATAATAATAATTATTTTTATTACAAGATTAATAATGAAAGAATATTTTTTCATTTTATTACATTTTCTAATGATGTATAATTATTATACATCATTATTATTAATTATAATTATGTATAAATAACATACCCTGCTTCTAATGCTGATTTTGGGATTACATGTAACAGTGGTAAATGTCTCCATGAAGGTACAGTAGCAAACAGTCTTTCTTCTGAGGCATAGTTGTGTGCTGATAAACAACCTCTGATCTATAAAAATTAATCTCTTTTTACAATATTATCATTGTTTTTTTTCAATTTTTAATCATTTTACTTCTATCTTTTATTTTTTGTTTTTTGTATGTATCATACTTTGTTAATTAATTCATTAATTAATAATTATAATAGGAAAAAGGGAAAGGAGATAAAAAATTATGATCAAGAACAAAAGAATATTTTTTCTTGTAACCATTTAGTATTAAACATAATATTTCATTTGACAATGAATATACAATACTGAAGAATAAATGAAATATTTTCTTCAATTTTATTACAATTTTTTCGTTTTAAATTATTTAAGTTTTGTGATTTGGACTCTTGTCAATTTCATTAATATATGTATTAAAGGTTAAGCAACCTTACCTCTCTTAAAAATAGCTTCTGTAAAAAATGTCTTTTACTGCGACGATGAGATAGACATGGTTTTTGGCCCACTATAACATATTCTGATTTTTCAGAGGTAATATCAGAGAACCATTCATTACAACAATCTGAGGTAGTATCGGAAGACGATGCATCCGCCATTTTTAAATAACCCTACTGAAATATATGCGTGAATAGCATTGGAAAATATAATTCATTTCGCTTTACGAAACTTTATCACATGGATGCACTAATCGAATTGTTTGTTACGTTCTTTTTAAAAAAAGTATTTAGCAACGTAAAGATTAATTAAATCAAGAAATTTGACTTAAGAAATTGTGATTCAAAAAATTTTAATAGATGAACAAAATATAAAAATTGTACATATGGATTTTAATTTTCATTGCCTTTTTATCATTGAATAAAAATATATGGCATCTTTATAAATTATAAAGGGTAAACAACTTTGCTACTATATTATCAATTTATCGAAATTTATCACATACATTTAAAAAAATATGGACATCACATTGGATGATAGATTAAATGTATTACAACAAATAAGTCAACGAAAACTCGTTGAAATCTTGGATGCAATTCCTGGAAGCAAAGACTTAGTGATAGAACAAAAACTTATGAAAATTTTGGACAGTTTTGTAGGTGTTTCTGTGCTCAAGTAATTGTTTTTTTTTTTT